ACAAAAATTGCAATTAATTGACTCATTGTGACTGCGCCACCAATCAATTAATTGAGTTCAAAAAATTGCAATTAATTTCCCTCACAATCAATTATTCGGTAGGCCTGCAATTATTCGACTGCTTTATGAATATCGATATTAAACATGGCGTTGCTTTTCTAGTGTTAATCAATTTCAATTTGTCCAACAAATGAATCTCGTGCAACATACGTTCCGTTCCCGGCTTAGCGCTCAGCTCCTTTATGCATCCAAATTTATTCAAAAAAATCTGAATTTTCTCCTGCAAATTATTATCCAACGGATTTGAGATCAAAATGTTCTTAACTAATTCGCAGGTATATTTTTTTTTTACCTTAAATTTTATTGAGATTTGAATCTAATTAATAAAATTTTAGCCTTTCAACCAAGACAAACTTGAAGTATCAAAGATATTATTTGGCACGGCATCATTTGGTGGATTTTATGACGAAGTTGGAAAATGCACACCTTATGATGCTGTATTGCGAGCTCTTGAGCTAGGTATAAAAAAAAAAATTTATTTTTATTGAAATAGTTTTTTATTTATATTTTTCAGGCATAAACGCATTCGACACAAGTCCTTATTATGGAGACAGCGAAGAAATTCTCGGATCAATTCTCTCATCGCTCAATGATAAATATCCAAGGTCACACTATTATATTATTACAAAAGTTGGAAGATATGGTTCAACTAAAAAAGACTTTGATTACTCTCCGTGAAAGTGTTGAAGAAAGTTGTAGACGACTAAGAACTGATTATCTTGATGTCGTGTATGCTCATGATGTAGAGTACGTGGATACTGATAAGGTTGTTGGCAATAATGGGGCTTTGATGGAATTGTTCAAGTTAAAGGTATGCTCTTTCATTTAAATTGGTGGAAATGACATTTTTAACTTTGTTCATCTTTTATAGAAAGAGGGAAAAATTAAATATGTTGGGATTTGTGGTAGGAAATTACAGTATTAATAGGGGAACTTGAGTAGAAGCTAGGAAATTCGACATATATAAAATACAGTCTAACCTTGATATAATCATTGGCTTGTTACCAAAATTCAAAATTATTAAAGCGATGGTGCCTACACAGGGTTTGGTTTTATGTTTTCTGATAATTGACAGATCAAAAATTTTTGACTATATAAGGTTAGACTTTAATATTGAATTTCTGGTTCTACAAAGTTTTTCATGTAAATAACATCACAAAGTACGATTTTATAATGTTTATATAAATTTTATTTAATATTATATAAATATAAATATAAAATTTATATATCTATATTACAATAATTTTAATTTAATATTATATAAATATAAATATAAAATTTATATATCTATATTACAATAATTTAATTTACTTTAGTCATTTATAAGTAAAAATTTTCAGCATGCTCGAAAAGCTTCGCCGATCGATCCCCTAGTTTAAACTTTAAAATCTAATCCTAACGTTAATATCCAACAAATTTTTTTTGAAATTTTACACAATCTTATATAGAAATTAATATAGACTTATATAAATAACTATGTAAATCTACTTTAGGATTATATAAATCTATATAAAAATGTACTTTGTGATGAAATTCATAATATTTTCATTAACATATATTTCTCTTGTAGGATATCCATTAAACGTACTTCTTAAAATAGCAGAAATCCAATATCAATATAATCAACCACTTGATATTGTGCAGTCCTATTCTCACTACTGCCTTCAAAATACACTTCTCTCAACCTACGTTCCAAAGTTCAAAAACCTTGGTGTAAAATATTTAATGAATACTTCTCCTTTATGCATGGCATTATTGATCGAAACTGCACCACCAGCGTGGCATCCAGCACCCACCAAATTAAGATCAATTATTTCTAAATGTATATCATATGTAAAAGAGAATGGATTTAACATTTCTAAGTTGGCCATACAGTTTTCATTGGAATGGGATGGCGCAGATGGTACCGTTATTGGACTGTTGAATAGGAAACAGGTTGAAGAAGCTATATTATGGTTTAATGAAGTTTTGGCTAGAAAAAGTGGTGAAAAGAACATTGATAAAATGGAGTTGATTACTGTTCGGGGATTTCAGAAAATGATAGGAGATTGGCTAAATTGGAGTTGGGAATCTCCACCAACTATTTAATCTTAAAAATAGTTAGACTACCATAAATGGTTGAATAAATTACCTCCTTCGATAGTAGACCAATTGTGTACTACATTCCGGTGCAAATCGCAGGATCTTCAATTAAATGTGGTTCTTTTTAAAAATCTTGATTGCCTGTTATAAACGCAAAGTGTATATGCATTTCAAATTTTTACACTATATGTCATAAACTCTCAACCATGTACTCTAACCGGGGTCTATTAAAGGTTTTAAAATTGGTGAAAGGTAACAAACCCGGGTCTTGTATCCAGCCATTTACGGTAATTTTAATTGTAGGAAATAAAAGTTCACTGCATTGAAAAATAATATGTTTATCTGAATAAAAATCAATATAAACATTTACACTTCACTCAATAAGTAGAAATAAAGGTCATTTCATTGTCCGAAGCATAGCGAGAATTTTACGTACGAGATAAAGTGAATGCACGTCTATGCAATATCGGATTGAAAACCAAATGAAATTCGAGAAATAATGGGTCCCGTGAAAGATCTGTAACAATTATAACAGTGTATATGTATACGTTTTGGTTCCATATCAGATTCTATTTCTTAGTATTTAATTAGGCATCACACATTAATATCCTAAACTTGGTTTTATTTTTTAGGTTTATGCATAGTTTTCATAATAATTGTGAATTACGATACTGAATAGAAATCGATAATTACATAATGATAGTTATAATAGAAAAGTTAGAAAATTTGAATTTTATGGAGGTAGTTAGTATAGTACTGTACGATTATACAAATATGTTCGGACGTACGAAAATTAAGCAAAATTTTGATAGTACATACGGTTAACATAGGTTTGAAAATCAATTTTTATAAGTCCATTATCCATTTGGCACAAGGATGCGACGAATCATTGGGTGAGGCTAATAAGCATTATTTAATATAATTATTTAGCCAATGCTTACTCGCCACACCGATGATTCGTCACATCTTCATGCCAAATGAAAGAGGAGGCCTAATCCTTTACAAATGACCCTTTTTTTTTATGTTCAGGGTTAATGCAAGTGCGAGCATTGTACTTTTTCGTGTGTGGTTATAGGAAAATGGCTTTTTTCGAAAGAATTTTTGCTTTTACAACTAATTTACTATATACCCATTTTATGGAACCTAAAAAATTTCATAAAAATATAACCTGAATGTCTGAATCAATTATTTGCATTCCATTTACACGTTAAATTTTATAAATTTTGTCAATAGTGTTTCTAATGATAATTATATTATTTTAATATTATTGTAAATATTGTTACTATTGTTTGGGAGAGCTATATCGAATATTTCGTCCAATTTAATTCCAATAGTAAACTGAAATGAGAAATTATTACGAGTAGGGTAATATAGTACTATCGGTAGGGTGGCTTGTTCACGTGGATCGGTAATTTATCAGGGTCGGTTAACTAATTTATGCGGGATCGGGTTATTAATCAATTTAAGTGATAGTCACACTTATGTAATAAATTTATAAAGGAGTATCTACTATGTAATTTAATATAGCGTTAACGATTTATGACGATATTTCGAAATAATAAGGATTTTAACGGATTTTCAATATAAGGGTTATTAAACAGTTTTAAGTAAGTAAATAAAGTTCTAACAACAAAAATTATCTAAACATTTGAGCAATTGATTCTTCTATTCAACCAATTTAAGATATCGATACAACTAACTTTTATTACAGGCTCGAAGGTCCTGCTTTTATACCTTTCAATTTATTAGAAGGTACGATAATCGAACCTTTTGATCTATGAAACTAGTAGTTTCGCTCACTAACACAACCGCTACTTAGTTTCAGTGATCCATGGTTTCGAAATTAAGAACTATTACAGGGTCTGGGTACGGTTATACTAATTCGGTTACAATCTTCGATTACGAAGGGGTAAGTATTTACAGATTTAGAAAACTCTATTTACAACTAGGTCTCAGGCCCGGGCGTTGCTCCGGGGCTAGACCTTAAGTGTTTTTAATCTCAGATTTTGTAATTATTTAGT